AGGCACAGAGCACTGCTTGGCACATCATCTCACCAAGCCTCTGTATGTCAGCTCTTTCTCCATGCCTCACTGCTCTAGACTGCTCCTTTCTCCAGAAAGCCCCACCCCCAGCCTTTGACCAGGTCTGTCAAGGGGCATGCTCCCACAGTCCCTTGTCATCCCTGTTCCCAAGGTATAAATTCATAGTGACGTTGGTGATCACCCTGCCTCTGGCTGATATCTATTTTCCCCAGGAGTCTGTAGTCCCTCACCTTCCCCAGCTGGGAGCCTAAGTTCTGCACATGGTTTATCTGTTCTGCTGCCCAAGCAAACTCCTACTCAGAACCTTGACATGGCTATTTTTGTGTCTGGGTCTTTGTACTTATGTTGGTTTTTGAGTCATGGCAACCTGGTCATGCTATTTTGGGTGTGTGTGTGTGTGCATGGGCGTACGTGCACGTGCATGGTGGTACTAGGACTTGAACTCAGGGTCCTACATTCATGGTTGGCTTTTCTGCTCAGTACAGGCCCTCTTATCACTTGGGACACATCTCCACTTTTGGCTTTTTGTTGCTTAATTAGAGGTACAAGTCATAGCTGTCTGCCTGAGCTGCCTTCGAACCAAGATTCTCAGATCTCAGCTTCCTGAGTAGCTAGTATTACAAGCATGAGCCACCAATGCCTGGCTTGATCATGCTATCTTTTTTTTTTTTTGGTCACTCATGGGGCTTGAACTCTGGGCTTCCGCACTGTCCCTGCGCTCTTCAGCAAAAGGCAAGTGCTGTGCCACTTGAGTCACAGTACCACTTTGGTTTTCTGGTGGTTAATTGGAGATAAGAGTCTCACAGACTCTTCCTGCCTGGGCTGGTTTTGAACCACGATCCTCAGATTTCAGCCTCCTGAGTAACTAGGATTACAGGCGTGAGCCACCGGCTCTTAAGAGTGTAAGTCCTCTCACAACATCCCTTTCCCCCAGGTCTTTTCCCTCAGAGCACCTGCCCCCTTCTACACAATACATGACTGAATTGTTCATCTTTTTTCCTTTCCCCTTCTCTCTTCCCTTTCCTTTTCTAGTGCTGGGGATTGAACCCAGAGTTTTATGCATACTACTACTCAACCACTTAAGCTATGCCCCAAACACAACTCATTCATTTGTTGACTATTGCATGCATTGGGCTTCTGCAACTTCAATTCTAACAGCTAAGCAAAAGTGGCTGAAGGAAAGAAATTCTGACAATTATTTTGTTTTTGTTTTTTTGTGCTGGTCCTGGGCTTAAACTCATGACCTGGGAACGTCCCTGAGTTGGTTTTTTGTTGTTGTTGTTGTTGGCATGGGGCTTGAACTCGGCCTGGGCACAGTCCCTCAGCTCTTCAGCTTAAGGCTAGCACTCTACCACTTGACCCACAGTGCCACTTCGTTTTCTGGTTGTTTATTGGAGATAAGGGTTTCATGGACTTTACTGCCTGGGCTGGCTTTGAACCGCAATCCTCAAATCTCAGCTTCCTGAGTAGCTAGGATTACAGGTGTGAGCCACCAGCGCCCGGCTCCCTGAGCTTTTTTTCCTTTTCTTTTTTTTTTGGGGGGGGGGGTCCAGTCGTGGGGCCTGAACTCTGGGCCTGGGCGCTGTCCCTCAGCTCTTCAGCTCAAGGCTAGCGCTCTACCACTTGAGCCACAGCGCCACCTCCGGCTTTTTTCTTATGTGGTGCTGAAGAATCGAACCCAGGGCCTCAGGCATGCAAGGCAAGCGCTCTACCACTGAGCCATCTTCCCAGCCCCTTTCTTTTCTTTTTCTTCTCAAAGCACGAGCCACTAGCTTCTGGCCAATTAATTGTTTTAAGTGTTGAAATGGTCTCTCCACCCCATACATACATCCATTCACATAGATTTGCCTGCTTGTAGGAAGCCACCTCTAACTTGGAGTTTGGTTTAAATTTGGACTATTACATTTGGGATTTGAAAGAAACCTTGGGCCACTTCATCTAACTGCTTCATTTTATTAAGAAACTGAGATGCAGAGGAGGATGTCTGACTTGTTTGAGGCTGTCTATAAGGAGGCTGGAAGTACACCCTATTTTCCTGACTTCTAGCACAGGCCCAAGTCCTCTATACCCATCTCTCACCCAACAGGATAGGTTCTCCTGGGTGCTGGTGGCTCATGCCTATAATTCTAGATACTCAGGAGTCTGAGATCTGAGGATTGTGGTTTGAAGCCAGCTTGGATAAGAAAGTCCATGAGACTCTCAACTCCAATTAACCACCAGAAAAACAGACGTGGAGCTGTGGCTCAAAGTGGCAGAGCACTAGTCTTGAGCAAAAAAGCCCAGGAACAGTGCCCACTGCCTCAGTTCAAGCCTCACAATCCACAAAATAGGCAAACCTAAAACAGAATAGGTTCCCCATGACTCTCAGCTCCTCCTCCCTCACTGGGCTCCTGAGCCTCCAACAGCAAGCCCACAGAGCTCCCTCTGCTTCTTCAGATTGGAAAGCTTCCTTCCAGCTCCTTGGCCCAGGAGATGGGGACAGGAGTAGTAAGGATATAGATTACAGATTCTCTCCAGCACTGGGGACAGGTGAGAGCACAAGTCCTTTGAGATCCCAGCATGCCAAGCTGGGAAGGGCCTCAGTGAGCATCTTGCACTCCCTATCCTTGAGGCCAAAGATCCCTGAGGCCAAAGATCTCAGGATGACAGGCCCTTACAGCCCCACAACTGTCAGGAGCAGAAACAGGACTGTGAGTATTTAGCCTTCCCCATCTCTACTGTAAGGACCCCTGACATCTATCATCTGTTTACTCTCCTACTCAGATAGTGAGCGTGGAAGAGGTGGCTAAGCTGGGAAGGCAATGCTGATTTCCCTTGGGAGATGGGGATCCAGTAGAGGAGGAAACAGGAAGCAAATGGTATGTTAAGGCTCTGTGTGTGTGAGTGTACCCGCCAGTCCTGGGGCTTGAACTCAGGGCCTGGTGCTGTCCCTGAGCTTTTTTTGCTCAAGGCTAGTGCTCTACCCTGAGCCACAGATCCACGTCTTGCTTTTTGGTAGTTAATCGGAAATGAGTCTTATGGACTTTACTGACTGGATTGGCTTTGAACTGTGATCCTCAGATCTCAGCCTCCACAGTAGCTAGGATCACAGGCATAAGCGACCAGTGCCCAGCTTCATTCAGACTTTTATTTAACACTTATTTGTTGATTATATATTGAGGGCCAGGTCCTGAGTGAGGCACAGAGATACAGCAACAACAAAAGAGAACCCCTGCCAGTGTAAGGTTGACACAGCAATGGGAAACACAGACATTAAACAGAGAAGGGGCTGGGAAGGTGGCCCAGTAGTAGAGTACTTGCCTTGCATACATGAGGCCCTGAGTTCAATTCCTCAGCACCACATAAGCAAAAAAGAAAAAAAGCCGGAAGTGGCGCTGTGGCTCAAGTGATAGAGCTCTAGCCTTGAGCTGAAGAGCTGAGGGACAGTGCCCAGGCCCAGAAAAAAAAAAAAAGATAGCCCTCAGCTCAAGGCTAGTGCTCTACCACTTGATCTACAGCGCCACTTCCAGCTTTTTTCTTTTTTGCTTATGTGGTGCTGAGGAATGGAACCCAGGGCCTCAGGCATGCAAGGCAAGTGCTCTACTACTGAGGCACCTTCTCAGCCCAGGACCTAGATTCTGTATGCACAGGATCAAACATTTGGATTTTATGGCAACAACTTGTAAACAAGGGAGAGGCACTGACAAAGTTTCAAGAAGGTAATTTTTGCTTCCATGGGGAGAGTGAACTGTTGGGGACAGGGTAGAGGCACAAAACCACTGCGAGCTGTTGTGGTAATCCAGATCAAAGGACTATGGTTCAAACCAGGTGGCAATGAAGTTAGGAGGGCCAAGATGCTATCTTTTTGGGAGATAAAGTAGTCAGGATCTGCTGAAAGATGAAATGGAAGGGGTGGGGGAGACAGTCTTAAGGATAACTCGGAATCTAATGAGAGAAGGCCTACATGGGGGAGCGGCTCACTGGCAGAGGCAAGGCAAAGCCGCCTTTCCCATAGGCCCTAGGGAAGGGCAAAGGGCTACGGAGGAAGGGGAGTTGAAGATGAAACAAACTAGCTCAAAGGTAAAAGGCTAGGGGGCAAAAATAGCTTCCTTCACCACCCACAAAACCAGAAGAGTGAGGCATCTGCCAGCTCTACAGGAATGCTGGGATGCCCGTGACCCTTCAAAGAGCCATGAAAGGTGGTGCTAAAGGGAACACAGGGCCAGAGACAGCTCTGAGACTTAAGAAACCCCGACACCCAAGAAAACCTGGCAGCTGATGACCCTCGGCCGCAGTCTGGTGTCTCTGTAGAAGACGCACAGCCGCACAGCCATGATCCTCTCCTGCCTCACGGGGCAGCAACCTCTCAGTGCCCTGTCCCCCTCCCCTCTACTCGGGTTGAGGCCCACACACCACCGAGTCTCCGCATTGCTTCTCCCTCTGCTAGGTAGCCCCTTCGATCCCTTTCTTCCGGGAAACTTCCGTCCTCTCTTCACGCATCAGTGCAGATCGGCGAAGGATCCCGAAACCCGAGCGCAGGCAGTCCTCTTCCTTCCCGTGAGAGCCGGGGCCGCCGCCGCCCCCAATCCCAGACCCGACCGCGTGAGGACGGCTCCGCTGCAACCCCTCAGTCCCTGACAGTTACCAGGGAAACCTGCGGAGACGGCACTCCCAGGCCAGGGCCGGCCCCGCCGCCCGGCACCTCCGGCCCCGCAGCTCTGTCCTCTCGGGCCGTTGCCGCGGCGCGCGGCCCACCGTGTGTCCCACGGAGCGCCTCGGTTTTCACGGACGCGTACCAGCAGCGAGTGGATCGGGGAAAGGGGACGCCGGGAGCCGAGAGGGAGCCCGAGCTCCGGGTCACGTGACCTGGGCCCACCCCAGAACGAACTCCGTCACGTGACCGCCGAGTCGACGAACGTTTTTCTCACGTGACGGAGGCGCCTGAGTCTAGGCCAATAAGGAGACGGGGGCGGGGCCGGCCGGGGGCGGCGCGCGGGAAGATTACTCAGGACTTGTGCTGTGGCTGCCGGGCCCCAGTTACGGGGACCTTATGCAGGCGAGATCTCAGTCTCACCCCGATCGCAGGCTGGGCCCGCGAGTGGTGCTTGTACGGCATGAAGTGCCTGGTCACTGGAGGCAACGTGAAGGGTGAGTTTGGGCCGACGTAGCGGCGGGGCATGTGAGCCCGCCAATGGCGCCACCTTAACCCCGTCTCTACCCTCTTCCCTGCAGTGCTCGGCAAGGCCGTCCACTCCCTGTCCCGGATGGGGGACGAGCTCTACCTGGAACCCTTGGATGATGGGGTGAGGGGCTGGGTCTTGGGCCGGAGGATCGTGAGCAGATTTGCCTGCGAAGTTTCCGTTTCCTCCTCTGTGGTTAGGACGTGACTTGAGTTTGTCTTCTTCCCCGGCTCCTGTGTGCACTGAAAGCTCTTGCCTTTCTGGAGAGCCCAGTGGAGGGTGTGTACGGGTGAGGTCGACTTAGAGGAATAGTATCACAGAGCGGGAAATGCGGCCCCCCGCGCTGTGGGAGCGTCCCGAGAGCGCTTCAGAAGATGGTACAGCTGCCTCCACGGGGTAGGGTGGTTTTCATACACGATGGCCATGAGGCAAGTGCAGGCAAAAGTAGGCCAGAAGGATGGACTCGTCATTGCCCCTAACCATGTCCTTTTTCCTGCTGCTTGTGTCCCAGCTCTCCCTCCGGACTGTGAACTCCTCGCGCTCTGCCTATGCCTGCTTCCTCTTTGCCCCCCTCTTCTTCCAGCAGTACCAGGTGGCCACCTCTGATCTGGACACACTGCGCTGTAAGATACAGATGAAGGTGAGGTCTTTCAGCAGGGGTATTCCCCACACCCCCGGCATCTCCACAGCTATACACCTGTGGTGGGTCACTGAAGAGTGAACTTTAAGTAGCAATCCAGTGCAAAATGCAGCTAGGGGCACAGTATAAAGCCCACAGAAGCTAATGGTATGTGTGGTGTGTGTGTGTGTGTGTGTAGGGGTGGGGGGTGGGGGAGCCCTGTTGGGAGGATGGCAGGTTTCCAGGCAGCAAAAACATGAGCAAGTGTGCAGATGCCCTGAATATCATGGGGTCCCTTTATCGTACATGCTAGGCTAGTTATGGGACAGAGCCTACATTGGACTTGCCAGGCTGATGTGTCCTACTCCCACTCAGTCCTTCCTGTCTGTGTTCCGTTCTCTGGCAACACTGGAGAAGACTGTGGAAAAGTGCTGCATCTCCCTGAGTAGCCGGAGCAGCAGCTTGGTGATCCAGCTGCACTGCAAGTATGGTGAGTGGGCAGCTACTCAGACAGGGGCTCCTGAGCCAGAGGGAAGGCTGGGGGAAGATTGACAAGGCCCACTGAGACGCTGTCTGGCCATCCAGGGGTGAAGAAGACTCACAACCTGTCCTTCCAGGACTGTGAATCTCTGCAGGCTGTCTTCAACCCAGCCTCATGCCCCCATGTGCTCCGTGCCCCAGCAAGGTGAGCTTGCCCTTGCCACTCCTCTCTGGGGCTTCAAGGGTATGTGTATGTGTGAATGTGCATTTGTGTGTTTATGTGTACTGGGGCTTGAACTCAGGGCTGAGATGCTGTCACTTAGCCTTTTTTTGGGGGGGGGAAGTCGGGGGGGGGGGGGCGGCGCTAGTCCTGGGGCTTAAACTCCGGCCTGAGCACTGTCCCTGAGCTTCTTTTGCTCAAGGCTAGCATTCTACCACTTGAGCCACAACTTCACTTCTGGCTTTTTGGTGATTAATTGAAGGTAAAAAATCTCTTGGACTTTCCTGCCTGGGCTGGTTTCTTTTTTTTTTTTGGGGGGGGGGGTCCAGTCATGGGGCCTGAACTCTGGGTCTGGGTGCTGTCCCTCAGCTCTTCAGCTCAAGGCTAGCGCTCTACCACTTGAGCCATGGCACCACTTCTGGCTTTTTTTCTTTTTGCTTATGTGGTGCTGAGGAATTGAACCCAGGGCCTCATGCATGCAAGGCAAGCATTCTACCACTGAGCCACCTTCCCAGCCCCTTGGGCTGGTTTCAAACATTAATCTTTAGATCTCAGCCTCCTAAATTGATAGGATTACAGGTGTGAACCACCAACACCCAAACTTTCTCATTTTAGCCTTTGGATTTTCTGTGAACCTAGATTTCACTCAGCCCAGGTCCTTCCACAGTTACTAAAAGCACAGGCTGGTCAGTGGCACTAGGGGCACATGTAGCTACTTAGGGGGCTGAGACCTGGAGGATCATGGTTTGAAGCCAGCCCAGGCAGAAAAGTAATTAAACATCAAAATGCTGGACTAGAGACACAGCTCAAGTGGTAGATAGCCTTGAGAAAAAAAAGTGCAGTGAGGGTATGAGGCCCTGGTTAAAAAAAAAAGAAAACAGGTGCTGGCATGGAGGGGCAGGACACCCTGCCCTATTCTCTGCCTCTAGGAGCCTGCCTTCTCAGAGGTCTGATACCTCATATAGCAAGTCTATCTGTGACCTGCAGGCAAATTTCTTGACTAACCTTGAGTGGCTATCCTTAACAGAGGTACAAAGCCCCTCTCTCGCCTAGTTACCTTCATTCAAGGAAAGCCTCTTTCCTGCCCAGCTGTAGTCCTGCGGAGTCCTCAAGACAAGGAAGGAGGCTAGGCAGGGAGGTGGAGGTCCAGGAGGGTTGCTGACTGGTCAGGTAGCACTGACCAGTCAGGGTTGCACAGGGCATGGAGAAGGGGGCTCAAGTGAAGGTCCCCAAGAACTAGCAGAGAAAGGACTTCCCCCACTCAAATTCATTTCTCATGATGACTGAAGGGCTCCCTTGGGTCTCGATATCTGTTTCCCCAGAGTCTATTAAGCTAGGACTCCTTTGGGTAGAGAAAGAGGGAAGGTTATCACCTTATTCTGTCCCTTTTTCAAAATGAGCAATTGTTTCTTTTTGTTTGGGTTGTTTTTTGCAATACTGGGCATGGAACCCAGGACCTCTTAAGTGTGCTAGGCAAGTGCTGAACTTCTGAGAGACATCCCCAGCTCCTCAGTGGTTTCCAGGCAAAGTCCAGATGTTATTTTTCGGCAAACGTTTGGCAACATGTATCCTTAGAAAAGAAGGATTTGTTTTTCCCACCCTGTCCCCCTCCCCCTCAGTGGTGGGATGGAACTCAGGGCCTTCTACATGCTAGACAAGCCACACCTCCAGCTGTAAGGGCTCTCTGGGGGCCAGATTCCTAGGAGCAGAATGTATATAGTTGTGTCCCATCCCTGGCCCTCTCCTACCACTGCTTAGTCAGGGGCTGCCTGCCCAGCCTTGCTGCTTCCTTCTCCAGATTCTTTGCTTGCCCCTTCACTCAGAAGCTTTTGACCTGGCAGGCAATACTGTCCACTCACCCCTGCGTGTGCTAGGCCTGCACACCCACCATTCATGTGTAAGTCACTGCCTTGCCTCCTTCGGGTGTGACACTCTGCCCTCTTCACAGAGTACTGGGGGATGCCATTCTGCCTTTCTCGCCTGCACTGGCTGAAGTGACATTGGGCATCGGCCGTGGCCGCCGGGTCATCCTGCGTAGCTACCAGGAAGAAGAGGCAGGTGAGGGAGCTGGACATGCCCTGGGAGGGACCCCAGGTGGGAGTGGGGTTGGACCCAGGGACCCAGGCTCTTCCTGTGCCTGCCCCTACAGACAGCACTGTCAAAGCCATGGTAACTGAGATGAGCATCGGGGAAGAGGATTTCCAGCAACTGCAGGCTCCAGAAGGGGTAGCTATCACATTCTGCCTCAAGGAATTCAGGGTAAGTTTCCCCCACCCCCACCCTACCCTACCCACTTACCCTCTTCCCAGCCCAAGCCCTCACTGCCTGCTTCTTTCCTCTCAGGGGCTCCTGAGCTTTGCAGAGTCAGCGAACTTGCCTCTTAGCATTCACTTTGATGCCCCAGGAAGGTAATTCCCCAGGCCTCTGCCCAGGGGAGGAAGGGCTTTGGGATCCCAGAAGAGGAATGATCTAGCCATGTCTGTTCATTGCCAAGGCCAGCCATCTTCACCATTGAGGACTCACTGCTGGATGGCCACTTTGTTTTGGCCACACTTGCAGACCTGGACCCACACTTGCAGTACCTGGGCTCCCCAGAGCTCCCCAGGACAGCACCTCAGCTGCAGGCTCACAGGTGAGGGCACCAGCCCCCTGCCTCCCTTCCCCCCGCCCTCCATCTTTGTTGTTTGCAGCTTCCGCACCTCCCCCCAACATAGCACACTTCCTGCCAGGTCCCAGCCCTGGAGGCGCAGCCTTCTTGGTCAGATGTACTAAAACCCCTCCCACTGAGAAGCGTCCCTGAGGTCCCACTGGCTTCCTCCTCTGGCTGAGTCCTTCCCTCTGAGCCGCCTCCCAGGCCAAGGAGGAAAAGAGCTGCTAGAGGCTGTGGGCTGCCTGGGGTTGAGGAAGCAGGTGGCTGGGAGGGCAGGTGGGGTGGGGAGGATGGGCCCAGTGTAGCTGAAGCAGAGGAAGTTTAGTCTGGCCCCCAGCCCGGCACGTCCCTGAGCTCCAGTGCGCTCCAGCTCCTGTCTCCCTGGGAAGGGGGTGGGGGGGAGGTGCTTGAGCCCCCTTGTGGCCCTCATTCACAGGGTTTGCAGTTTCCCTCCCCCAGCTGAGCTAAATAGACCCCAGGATGCCTCCCTCAGGCCCCTACCTGAACTCTGATCAAAGGGATTCCAGGCCCACTCCCTTCAGGAAGCCCCCACTTAACCCCTGCATCCTCTCCTCTCCAGTCAAATCAGGAAGTAATAAAACCAAGAGCTCACAAGCAGTCTTGAGGCCCCTACCTCCTGTTGGGCCTTCTAAGGTGGGGTGTGTCTGTACCCTATTCTCTCCCTATTCTTGACACTGTCTCTGCCTACAGCACATCCCAGCTGGATGACTTTGCCAGTGATGACATTGACTCTTACATGATTGCCATGGAAACTGCCGCAGGCAGCTCAGGCTCTCGGGCACAGCCCCCCATTTCTCTTTCACCTGGCTTCCAGCCCTCCCACGACCCCAGCCTGCACTCTGATGAAGAAGCTGAGCCCAGCACAGTGCCTGGCACTCCCCCACCCAAGAAGGTAGAGGCTGGCTGTAGAGGCAAGGGCTGGGAGGGGCGGAAGGGAACAGCCTGCAGAACCCATGGGCTTCCTCTGTTCTCTTTCCAGTTCCGCTCGCTGTTCTTTGGCTCCATCCTAGCTCCTGTACACTCCCCCCAGGGCCCTAGCCCTGTGCTGGCTGAAGACAGTGATGGTGAAGGCTGAGCTGAGAAGCTAAAGGCCTTAGACTAGAAGTCCCAGCAGGGGAAGGACAGGGGCTCTGACCAGGGCATGGCATAAGGGCAGTGCTGGCAGTTCTGCTTGCCTCCTGCAGGTCCCACTCCACCATGTTTGGCTTGAGTCCTGTCATCTCCCTCCACACTGCAACCAATCATGCCTCTTCCCAGGTCTGGTGGCTAGAAGCTATCTCACTGGCAGGTCCTCACCTCTTCACCACAGAGTCTCAAGCTAAGTTCTAGCCACCTGGCCAGGGCTGAAAGCCTGCCTTCTTGAGGCTTATCTCTAAGAAAAAAATCATAGTGCTGTTGATTTACTCCTACTGCCAATCACGAGCTGCCCTTCCCCCAGACACACCACTGGGACCCCCCCATGTGGCTGATAATTTCTTATTTTCCCAACACTTTGGCCCTGCCTTGGAATTTTTAAGAGCCTCTGGATTTGACTTGTGTGGCTGGGGTTACCCTGGCTGGGCCTGTGCCCAGCCAGCCTGCCTTCCCAAATAGCTTTGTGTGGAAGGGCTGCCAGGCCCAGTGTTTGGGACAAGGAAACAGGCCGTGGCGAGAATCCAGCTTTGACCTTTATTCAAGAGACCAGATGGGTTGCCCCAGGGTCTGGCTGGCAGCCCTGTGGCCAAGCCAGGCTGAAGACCCACAATCTGGCCTGCCATTGCCCTGAGCTGCAGCCTTGGCCCCAGGATCCCACTTGCAGCCACTGGAGGGACAGGTGGGAGGGAGCCCTGAGGGACTGGATGCTGCTATTGATCCATTAAAAAAAAGAAAGAAGACACTAATGCTGTGTCCCTGTGATGGGTGGGCCCGCCATGGCAGCATGATTTCTGTACAATCAATCCATCATCTGGGCAGAGGGGCGGGCGGCACACGGAGGCTATTTCTTGGCTTTGGCAGAGTTGCGGGGTGGGGTGATGGGGCGGCCTCCGGGGTTCAGACCACTGAACTGCCCATACTTGCCCTTGTTCTTATCAGCGGGCTTGAGGATCTAAAAGAGACAGAGCTGGTCAGGTCCCCAGCAGTGACCCACAGGGCCTACTGGCCCCTTCCCCACACCCACCTGGAAGGAGCACATGAGGGTCTCATCCACGCTCATCATGGCGCCAGCATTGTCAAACTCGCCACAGTAATTGGGAGCTGAGAAAAGTGTCACCAGCTGCCGCTTGGCAAAGAACTCATAACCATCTTCTACCACCTGGGCAAGAACAAAAATAGTTGGGTCTGCAAGTTTACCCACTCCCCTTACTGCCTCAACCCAGGGCCACCAACCCATACCTGGTGTGCCCTGCAGATGAGGTCCAAGTCGTGCTTGTGTAGGAACTTGGCCACTACCTCAGCCCCAAAGGTAAAGGAGACACCCCGATCGTTCTCGCCCCAGCCCTGCACATCCTTGTCAGGGTCAGACCACAGCAAGTCACACAGCAGGCCCTGGTCAGGCACATCTGTGGGCCGCATGATACGCCGAATCTGCTCCATGGACTGCAAGTCTGGGGACAGGCCTGCTGGGACAGGATACTTCCTCAAAACTCAAAGCAAGCCCCCACTCCTCTAGGGAGCTTTCGACTCCCAGCCTCACGCTCCCAACATCACTGGACCCCTCTCCTGGACTCCTGAAGCCCCGGCAGGCAGGACCATCTCCCTCAGCCTTTTCCAAGTCCAGAACATAAGCACAAAGATGCTCCTGCCTGAAAAGAGACAAATGAGTTCCATGCAGGATGTTGCATGCCGCAGCCAGAAAGAGTACGGCTTAGCAGTGGGGGGAGAGGGAGAAAGGGACTTCGTATGAGAAGCAATATCTAAGAAGAGCCCAAGAGCTATTCCAGGTGCCTATTAACAGCTTTGTTGTAAGGCCTGTAGGCATGTCTGGCTGCTCCCTTCCCAGGAGTCTCTCAGTACATGCCTACAGCCCCCCTCACCTCCATGGCAGCAGAAAATCTTCTCGTCTACGATGGCTGCGATGGGCAGGCAGTTGAAGCAGTCAGTGAAAGTTTTCCACAGTTTGATATTGTAGCGTCTCTTGCCTGTATACAGAAAAGAGATGGCTTACAGGGCAGCCTGCCACGCCACCCCACCCTCAGCCTGGCTCTCTGGCTTTTTTTTTTTGGGTCTGGTCGTGGGGCCTGAACTCTGGGCCTGGGTGCTGTCCCTCAGCTCTTCAGCTCAAGGCTAGCGCTCTACCACTTGAGCCACAGTACCACTTCTGGCTTTTTTCTTTTTGCTTATGTGGTGCTGAGGAATCGTACCCAGGGCCTCATGCATGCAAGGCAAGCGCTCTACCACTGAGCCACCTTCCCAGCCCCCTCTCTGGCTCTTCTAGGATACTTTGTGGACTAGATAGAAGATTGAAGGCAAGGACAGCTCAAGCCTTCCACCTCTACCTCACCACACCCCTACCTACCTTCCAGGAATAATTCTAAAGCACCTAAGGTCCACAGAACCCAAATTCCAGTCTGACGGACTCATAGGCTTGAGTAGGGCCAAGCCCAAACCAGGTCTGCTTTATCTCTGCTTTGGACCAGTAAAGTCTAGTGTACACCAAGCATCCTAAGTGCTCAGTTACCGGACGTCCTGGTGAAGGACCTGACATCAAGCAGGGCCCTGGGAGCAACCCTCCAGGTATATCTATACACCAGGCCCCTCTCATTACCAAGCTGCAGGTCAGAGAAGACAGGTATAAAGGGATGGGGCCTCCATGCACTCCCAAGTACACCAAGCATTTTGACACCAGGCCAATACGAAGGTCCCATGCAGAGCAGAGAGGGCAGTTCCTGCCCCAGGCAGTCCTCAACAGTCAGACCACTTACATTCATCATAGAAGCCATAGATGCGGTTGATGCTGGCACACTCATGGTTCCCACGGAGCAGGAAGAAATTCTCAGGGTACTTTATCTTATAGGCCAGCAGCAGGCAGATGGTCTCCAAAGACTGCTTGCCCCGGTCCACATAGTCCCCCAGGAAGAGGTAGTTGCTCTCTGGAGGGAAGCCACCATATTCAAACAGCCGCAGAAGGTCATAGTACTGGCCGTGGATGTCACCTGTGATCCAGGGAAGTTAGAGGTAAGACCTGAACTTGAACCCAAGGCCAGAAATGGGGCTCAAGAGAAAAGAGATCCAGGAACTTTGGGAAGGGTCACAGTGTCATTTTCAAGAAGTCAGGGCTTGGCTAGGAGCTCACCGCAGATCTTGAGGGGAGCCTCCAGCTCCAGAAGTATAGGTTGGCTCAGGAAAATCTCCCGGGATTTGAGGCACAGACCACGGATCTCGTTCTCTGTCAGCTGTACATTCTTTCCAGGCCGCGAGCCCTGAACTGGGAGCGCAATGGGCTGTTAAGGCCCCGGGTCCTCAGACGGAAGGAAGCAGGGCGATTCGGGTGGGGTGGTCTCTTGGCCCCGCTTTGGGGGGGGGGGAACCTGGGCCTCTCCTGGACCACAGGCATCGGTGAACCCTGATCCCAAGATTCTCCGCCTCAGGCCTCCCAAGGCAAGACCCCAGCCACCCTGGAGACCCTCGAGACGGGTCTGTGGGCACGGGGCTTGTCACCCATGTCCTAATAGCACAGGACCCCTTTCCAAGCTAGGTTTCATAGCTTTCTCCCCCGCCCCAAGAGCCCAGGCCGGGCGTGCGCCCCGGGCTCGGGCTCGGAGGGGTGGCTGCCCCCACCCGAGGGCGCCCCGACCTCCGGGACGGCGGGGGGAGGGGAGGCCGAGGCCTCGGGACCTCGCGGCCCGTCCCCGCCCAGTCCAAGCTGGCCCTCGGAGGGTCAGACCCGCCCGCGCGCCGCTTCCGGGCCGGGCCGGGCCGGGCCGGGGCCAGGGCGCGGCGGGGGCCGCCCTTCCCCACCCCAGCCCACCTTCCAGCAGGCGCCCGATGATAGAGTCCAGGTTGAGCTTCTCGCTGTCGGACATGGCGGCGCCGCCGCTCCGGCCCAACAGCTACGGGCCTGCTCCAGCCTCCCGCCCTCTCGGAGCCTTCTTCCGGCCTGCCTCTCCTTCCGCCCTCCCAGCCCGCCCCCGGCCCGCCGCCCCGCCTCCTCGGCCGTCCGCCCCGCCCCGCCCCGCCCCGCCCCGCCCCGCCCCGCCGGTGCCCCGTGCTCTAGCGCCCCCGCTGGCAGGGAAGCGCAGTGACCCCGGCGGCCCGGGGGCGGGCCTCCTGCCGGGCGGGGGCGGGGCCTGCAGGGGGCGGGCCTCCTGCGGGGCGGGGCCTGCCGGGCGGGGCGGGGCGCCGGCCTGCCCCGCCCCTGGGGAGTCACTCGGCGGCGGTCCGCGCGTTTGGGACCGGAAGTGCTGTGGAAGTTGTTTTTCTCTGCGGAAGGCGGAGCCGTCCTTCCCGCCCCAGCTCGCGGCGAGTGTGTATGTGCGCGTAGATTAATCACTGTGGAGAAAGTCGTCAAAGTTCAGGAAAGGAAACTGAGGCTCAGATATCCCAGCACGGGGTCTCCGTGGCCTCCAGGCAGCTGGCAGCCGTGTCTGAACTCAGGATACTTTGCTTCACCTTGCCTGTGCCTCCTGTCTTCTCTTTTCTTTGTCAGCCCGGGGCTTGAACTCTGGGCCTGGGCGCTGTCCTCCAGCCTCTTTGTGCTCACAGCTAGCAGCGCTCTACCACTTGAGCCACAGCGCCATTTCTGGCTTTTTCTGTGTCTGTGGTGCTGAGGAATGGAACCCAGGGCCTCATGCATGCGAGGCACGCGCTCTGCCCCTGAGCCACCTTCCCAGCCCTGTCTTCTTTAGTGTGTGATAGTTCTGGGGCTTGAACTCAGGGTCTGAGCGCTGTCCCTGAGCCTCTGTGCTCAAGACTAGCGCTGTACCACTTGAACCATAGCGCCAGGCCTGGCTTTTTCTTTTTTTTTTTGTTTTGTTTTGTTTTGGGTCCGGTCGTGGGGCCTGAACTCTGGGCCTGGGCGCTGTCCCTCAGCTCTTCAGCTCAAGGCTAGCGCTCTACCACTTGAGCCACAGCATCACTTCCAGCTTTTTTCTTTTTGCTTATGTGGTGCTGAGGAATCGAACCCAGGGCCTCAGGCATGCAAGGCAAGCACTCTACCACTGAGCCACCTTCCTAGCCCTAAATCTTTTTTTAAAGGGTACTGGGATTTGAACTCAGGACCTCCCTCTTGTTAGGATGGCATTCTACCATCTGAGCTATACCTCCAGCTTTATTATTACTTTTTTTTTCCCTTTCCCTCGGGTTTTGTGAACTTTCCTGGCTAGCATCAAAAGATCTTTCCTCTCTCAGCTTTGGAGTAGGTAGGATTACAGGTGTGAGCCTCCTTTACCCCCACT